GTCAAACGCTACATTCATAATTTTATTAGAGATTCTTTATTGCCATTTGAACAGACTGGCTAACACTGTTCAGAGACAGACAGGAATCAGTCGTCTCCTTCCGATAAGATTCACCTACGAAACACTTCACCCGACGCACTTTAATAAAAATCTCACCTAATATGCAAATCAAAGTTGGGTATAAATGAAACTCCAGATTTTCTCACTTACATTTATGAGGAATGTGTGTATTTGTGTGTGTGATGAAGAGGTTTGGAGGTGAATCTGGTGGAATCTTTGTATGATGAATATCCCCAGATCGAGCAAGCAGGTCTGAAACATCTTTAAGCCAGTCAGGAAAGAAATAGTGCCAAATATGTTTGTATGAATGAAAACTGGGTCTGAAGTTTCCGTTGAGTACAGAGACGAAAGCTAAGAACCATTTCAGCGGAACCACTCTTAAATTTCTCCCTCACACACATACTCATAAAAAATTGAAATAGGCTCAAAAAGTAAAAATATAGGTATTTTTTTAACACAAAATTTCATCCAACAATGACAACATTTACTTACCTAATTCCGTCACAGAACGGATGAAGGTCGTCACTAAATATTATCTCGAAACCCTACTCAGATAAGACCGGATGAGTTGGGATTATAAATGCTTTCGTCAAAACCAGTTAAAATTGTTTTAGGCATAACGTTTAGTTATCGTTACATTGACCGAGTAGACGAATATCGGTTAAAGTGGGCCCAAATGGTCAGTTAGGTCAAATAATTTGAGAAGAATAAAAGTAATAAGAGTTTCAATTAAAGCTGTTATCAGCCAGATTTTTATTCAGCCATGTTAAAAACTATTCCGATGTTAATTTATTATTAATTGCACAAAGTAGTTTAGGGAAACTTTGCATAAGAGCATCCAACTTTTCAAGAATCACCAAAAAAGCACATCCTAAACCACTACGTTTCAATACATTCCCGTAACTATGAGGCCTGTGTCAACCGTCGGCTGCGGCTTTCGCCTCTCTTGACAAGAATTCTCTCATGAGTTGAGACGTATTTACAACAAAATTGTTGATTGAGGATAGTGCATATTTGTTCCCAGCTGAGAATATGCGGAAATTCAAGCAAATGGAAGAACCATAAAAATACTACTAATCCTGAAGTTATCCATGCTGTTGACGGTTGACCACTTCTGCCCTGCTACTAGAGCTTACCCAACGAACCGTCTGGTAGATGCTCTTTATTTGTTGAATAATAGTAGCCTATGCTTATCGCAATGCTGCTCGACGGGCCTCGATGGTCCACTCTGCTTTGAAGTGTGTCTAATTAAAGTTGTTGGTCACTTTTTCAGCTTCTACTAACAGAATGTCAGTAGTATCTTAAATTCCGTGAAAGTTGATCAGTGCATTGTGTGTCTCGCCAGCTCAAGCTTCTCAATTTGTGTGCAATGCCTGTGCATATCTTTAGATTCGGCATTCGCCTCCCTCGAGCTGAAGTATTTCATGCCCCGTGGCCCACTGGCACAGCGGCTGTGTAGCACGGTGGTACCATGTCGAAACGACCGGGTCTGATTTCCGTCGAGGACTGTGAAACGAGATCATAACTGCAGTCCATTCGAGCCGGGATGAGCATGCCTTTTTCGAGGCAAGTCTACACGAAATTTAATGGCATCGTGAGGCCTATGCAAGGGGTTGTGGAAAAATGCAATTATCAGTCCCTCATCGCTCCTTTTCAAGATCTTCTGGCATATTCGAAACAGCCCAACTAAACTAACCTATTTCACTCAAGATACATTTCTGCTGGGAGACCTCGAGGCCTGGTTCAATACGCATCATTTCTTTCATTTTAACCGTGAGAGTTGGGCCGTAGTGCCAAACAAATTCCGCAATTTCATTTGTAGCCACAATGCGGGTCAGTTGGATGAGTAAACATGATTTTGAGACAAAACAACGCTTCCTTACGATTCTCTGTAGGCTGTGTTCAGAGTTCACGATGTTTAAGCATAAACCTTGACTTCATTATCTCCTCTATTGGCTTTATGATTTGGCAAATAAGACAAAATACCCCATTACAATGACAAAAGTCTTATGCTATAAACATAATTCACAAGCTAAAATTTCGAGCACCGAACAATTAAAGATTCGTAAGAGTAAATATCGGGTCGTCAGCTGGAATCGCCTCGACAGTAGAGCCGTTATTAGGAACCGTCTAAATAAGCCGGGAAGTAATAACCCGAAAATCTATTAACAGACGAGGGATTGTCTCGTTGACTACTTCGGCGTAACGGAAATCAACAGTTGAGATTACTCGAAACCCAACTACTCTTCGTATATGAGACGTATTCAGCCTATTTCGTTTAAGGTGATGAAGGACTGGCAGTACAATTTGCCCACAATCATATGAATAGACCTGGCGTCTTGCTTGAATTTCACACTGCCTTGTTTTCTTAAAATGTATTTTTGTCCCGGTTGGGGTGTACTGCATTTTCGACTTCGCCTTTGTCTTATCAACACGTCCAGCGGGACTCGAACCGTGACATTGCAGCATGTGAGCTTGACACGTCAACCACTCGGCCACATTACCACGAATGTCCTTGTGTCACAGGGCAGATGTGTACTTAAAGGAAGGCCACGCCTCTTCACATATCACCACATTCGTTTTGGTGGGATTGCCGATGAAGCAAACGTATTTTTGCTATAACAATCGGCTGCGTTACTCATTTTTCGTATATAGGCAGAGTTTCGAGACCTTAGACTTTGGAGGCCTTAAATGAAATATGGTGAATACATCTCATATAACTGAGTTACTGATATTGAAGATATGAAAACCAAAATGTTGTGGCCTCCGGTATGGTCGCAGTCTCCTTT